CCTAGTCAGGAATTAATTATAACTTCCAAATCATGTAATAAAAATATAACAAAGATACACACTTTGGCCTTTCATCAAGAATGTTCAAAATTACAATTCTTAACATACACTTTTCTTGGATTATAAACTTTATCTACGTTATCTCTTCGCTATAAATTACAAAAGAAAAGAAACTAAATTTATTAAAACAATAACATCTTAAACTAAGTTATCTATGCCCCGATGTCACATCCTATCAGAGCATGCCCAACTGAAGCCTTAAGTCTTATCAATAACATCCTCACGATGATGATCACCTGCAACATAATTTAAACATATACAAGAACAACAAGGGAGTGAGAAACATCTCACTCTAATTCAGATGTAGAAATAAATGTTAGGCAACACACACAATCATAAAAAATACCACACAAATTACACATAACTAATCATAACTCTCAAGTTATAAATATATTAGAATACATATACATTAAATTATCATGCAATAATGTCATGGACTCGACTCATAAATGCATGCATGTGGCGCCATACGGAAGTTTACATTTCTTATCACTGGTATGCTGCACAACAACACACCTGGGCACTTTCATTCATGAATACATCACTGGTGACCCTCAGGCACACCTTGTTAGCTTGTTACATCACTGGTGACCCTAAGGCACACCTTGTGAGCTTGTTACATCACTAGTGACCCTAAGGTACACCTTGTTAGCTTGTTACATCACTGGTGACCCTAAGGTACACCTTGTTAGCTTGTTACATCATTGGTATGCGGCATAAGCGGCACACCTGGAGTTATATATACATATGATGCATGTCATACATTCATTATTTCATTGACTCAACATTTGACTTATTTCAGAATTTCATTTAGTACATCATGTCATCATTTTTCATATTCTCATAATCATAGCTTATCTCAATAGTTCATTCTTATGTCTCATGTCATTTGTACATATTTCACATAGTCATGTCATAATTGTTCCTCATAAGGTCCGCACAGGAATCCACAGAGAGCACTCTTATTCATATTAAAACTTATTTATTTTTAAAATTAATTACATATTCATTCATTACTTCCATGAAGGAACACAATAGGGCAAATAGAAAGTAAAATAGAACACATTCATGTTCCTAGAAACATACATCAGGCAAGGGATTGGGGGCCAATCCGACTACCCAACAATTATTCTCACACTCCCGAGTGAGGTTTCTCACTACCCCCTTACCTCCATAAGCAGGAGCTGAAACTAGAGCAGAACCTTGCTAATCTCCTCCTCTGGATTCCCTCTTTCTTTCTCTCTCTTTCTTTCTCTTTCTTTCTTTCTTTCTCTCTCTCTCTCTCTCACTCTCTCTTTCTCTCTTTAAGTTTTTACCTTCGTCAGTTACAATTTTTTTTCACAGCCCCTCCCTCCTATTTATAGGCATTCAGGGGTACCCGGAACGACCCGTTCTGAATCTGGAACGGCCCGTTTTGGAGCCATTCGTTATATGCAAAATTTACAACTAGAACGACCATTCTCAAAATTAGAACAGCCCGTTCTAGGGTTCATTTTAACACACATTGATCATAATTAGAACGGTCCGTTTCCAACTAAGGTTTTTATGCATTTTTAGAATCTTGGAACGACCCATTTCACTTTGAAAATAGTCCGTTCTGGAATAACCAAAATTGGCCTCTTTACTAATTTGGAACGGCGCCGTTCCACCATTTGGAACGGCCCGTTCTGGTCCTTAAAAAATAGTTTACTTTCATCGTCTGGAACAGCCCATTTTGGCCCAAAAAAAATAGAATTTCATATAAAAATTAATTTTTTTAAAAATCTCTAAAATGTTCTATAAAATTTCATTAAATAAGCTCCATAATTATAAAATAATAATAATTAACTATGTAAAAAATTCGGGATATTACAAAAAATAGATAGATAAATAAAAAAATCTCTAAAATCTTTTGTATAGATAAATTAATATAGTTTATATAAAAATATAATATCTATTTATATGTATAAGTCTTTTGTAAATTTTATTATATAATAAAAATTTAGCCTGTTCAATGTTATTTAAAATTAAAAGTATAAAAGATATATTGAGAGAAACAAAAGATAAAAAACTTCAAAATGGTTTTTTTTTATACTGAAAGTAACTTAAAAATGTAAGAGATTATAGTGTCAAACACTTTTTTTTGTCTCAAATTTATTTATGAAAAGTCAATAAATAGTTCCGAATTAAATGAGGGTGAAAATTGATTAGTCAATGTTCAGTTACACGCAATTTAGTTGTTTTCTTTAATTTCCTTCCCGCTGCACAGCAAATTAGTCTCTTCATAACTTTCACACTGGTCTCAATGGTTTCAACCGCATCATCATAAGCCAAAAATAATAATATTTATTGTTAATGTTACCTATTACTTTCATTTATAAGAATCGAATATTGATAACACACTCTACTCCATCATCTGAATTAAATCCTTTATTAGATATACTTGACTATGAACTAAATTACGTACCCTTAATACAGAAAAAAAAAAAAAATTAGGTACCCTCACTTTTAAGACCAAGAACCTAGAATTTATTATGGCATTTAAGGTCATTTTGTTCATACAGTACCCTAAACTGGATGCACAAAATACTCTCTCTCATACTTTCTCTCGACTTATATATATATATATATATAAAAGAAAAGAAAAAAAAAATTTACACTGATTAACCGTATATAAAAATAAAATAAAATAAAAAACAATTAAAACAAAGTCAATTGAGAAATGGTATTTCTCAAATGCTTCATGTTTGCCTTATTTTACTATTAATTAGCAGCAATTTGGTTTGACTCACTCAAAAAAGAAAAAAATATAACTTAATGTTTTTTTTTTTTTTATCCTTTTACCTTTTTCATACTTTTAAGATTTAAGAAGATCTATTAAAATTTATATTAGATAACGCTGAGAAGTATGCGTATATAGAAATAACATTTTAAATGGAATGACAAGCGACATCTAAGTTTTAGTTGTCCCATGTGAAATCTGCATTTTAGGCAAATACTGATCGTAAGCGTGCGTGATATATATACATATATATTTTACATTAATTTTAATAATTTTTAATACTGATCGTAAGCGTGCGTGATATATATACATATATAACTTAATAATTTTTAATTTTTAATTATTTTAGGCAAATAATTATATTAAATTGTTAATAATTTTTACATTAATTTTACATATATTAATTCTATAATTTTTTAAAAAATTTGAAAATTATTTAAATAATTTATATAATTTACCTTGATTGAAAAAGTAATCTGCAAGAGATCAGATAAAGAATTGTGCATGTGAAAAAAAATTATACAGCTACATTTCTGTATTTTGACCCAAGTAGAATATTTGATTTGATTTGAGCCATAATTATATACAAAAATGACATATATATATATATATATATATATATATATATATATATATATACGAGGAGGTTCAAACGACATCGATGTAATTTATAATAAGTATTACACCATTTAATAACATTATATTAAATGTAAATTTTGTAAATTCAACCGTTAGATTGAAAATTCATATCACTTTATATGTTTATTGTTAAAATTGAATAACAACTTGAATGCTATCAAATCATCTTGGATTAATATAAAATTTTGTATATATGATCAAAGAGTAAAGAACTTTCAATCTAACAATTGGATTTACAAAATTCACATTTAATATAAGTATTAAATGGTATAATACTTAATAAAAGTTATACCGGTGTAGTTTGAATCCTTCTCATATTGATTTATGTATTAAGAACTTTAATTTCATTATTAGATCATTGAAATTTGATGTAAAACATGAGTTATTGAATAGAACATGTCTAGGCAGACTTACTCCTAAAATAAACAAATCTTTCATATATATATATATTTCTTAAATTTAAAATTACAGGTCTAATGAGTAAAATTTAATTTTAGACATTATAAAATATTCTTATTTAATTTAAATTTTTGAAAATTTTAAATCGCTATTTTTAATCCTAATATTTATTTAAAATAAATAATAACATTTATTTTGAAATCTATATTTTTTAAATATTGTATCACAGACACCCCTAAGTATCATTTAATTTGGGATGATCATTAGACTTTCAAAACATATAAACATTTTAAAAATTATGACATAATAACGTGAAGTAAACAAGAAAATAATTTTCACCTTTAATTTGAGGTAAGAAAACTAAAGATTTTGACTTTTATATAGACTAGAATCAAAACTCATCTATTTTATACGATTAAAATATATTTAAGTCATCTTTTTTTTTTTATTATTTAATTTTATGAATATACTCCGTTTTAAATTCTTTGAAAAACTGACCAAAAAGAAAAAATGAAAAAGAAAACGTTTTTTTTTTCTAAAACTCTTGGTGAATATATACACCTTTGCATAGATAAAGAGAGATAAAAATTAGAGAAAGAAAATAATAAATATGATAAATAATATAATAACAAAATAAAAAGAAGGGTATGTAAAAATTTTGAAATAATTAGATAGTCTACTTCAATTGGTTTAGAAGAATGTGAATGAGTGTAGCAATCAGTTCTATTTTCATGAATAAAAAAAAATGCTGTAAAAAATGAATAAAAAATTAAAAGTTAATAAATATTCATGAGAGAGTGGCAACCACATGTCATTCATGTGTTCCTAAATATTTCTCCAAAGTCATCCTCTAAATACCAAAATACAAAAGTCTGTAACAAACTCATCATTTCCTTTTCCTATTTTGTTTAAAAAATATTGTAAGAAAAGAAAAGAAAATGACCAGAGTAAAAGAAATGAGTAAAAAAAACAATTTTCCCAGTTGGGCACTCTGGAGGGGAAGCTGAACAGTCACATAAACAACAAATCTGAGCCGTTGGATGCTATTAATACACATGCCAGGTGTCACATGATTATCCCTCATCATACTTGATTTTATGAAATTAATTTTTCTTTGTGTTTTTTTAAGTCCCATAAGAACCCAGGACCCCCACCTCTTTCCTTCACACAAACACAGTTCTGATCATATTTCTCACACACAAACACAACAAACACAGTCTTTGTCATTCTCTCTCTCTAATCTTCATGGAGTTTGATCTAAGCTTCTCAGAGAAAAATCCCTACCTTTCTGGGATTTACTCTGACATCAAATCAGAGATCCCCATAGAGGAAAACACCACCTTCATGTGCCAAAACAATTTCAGCCATTTTCAGCACCTTTCCCTAAATGGTCCAAACCATGAGAACCCTGCAAGTTTTTTCACTGAGGGTTCTTCCTCCTTCATCACCCCATTATTCTCTTTGTCCTCAACAACTCCTCCTTCAAGCTACCCCAATGATCAGTCCCTCAAAAGAGGCTTTGTCAACACCTATTACCCCATGACTTTTGTACCAAACAACACCAAAGTTGAACCCATGTATGGCCACCTCAACACCAGCAAGGGCATCTGGGACTTTTCCCAGAAAATTCCCTTTCCCTCTGGTGCAAGTGCAACTTCACAGCCTCAGGTGGGTCTCACTTTCTCATGTCTCATGCATCATGAAACTATAAATGATGCTAACAAGGTTTTTTTTTTTTTTTTTTTGTTGACATGAATAATCAGGTGCAGAGAAGGAGCATTACTGTCAAATTTCAGAACCAGATTAGCAACATAATCAAAGGCCAGTGGAGTGCTGATGAGGACAGGTATAACAAATGATTTCGATTTTCGATTTTCAAGGTTTTGTCTTTTTTTTTTTATATTTTTATTTCAATAAATTTGTTTTGTCATTTTATTCTTTGCGGTTACATGTGGGGCTTGCCATGAAAATTTGACTCTTTGATTTAGCTCTTATCTTTGGTGAGGTTTGTTGATGTTTTGTCCCATTTTTCATCAACTTTTAACAAATGGTGAAGATTTTGTTTTTTATGTGATTTTGTAGGGTCCTCGTCCAATTGGTGAAACGTTTTGGACTGAAAAAATGGTCTCAGATCGCGAGGTTGCTGAATGGCCGGATTGGGAAACAGTGCAGAGAGAGATGGCACAATCATCTCAGGCCAAACATTAGGGTTTCTTCCACTTCTATCCTTTTTTTTCTCTCTCTTACGCATACAGTTCGACGTCATCTTTAGAATATCCTTTTATTCAAACATCTTCCATTATTTCGATCCAATTGGTGTTATTTACTTAACATGTATATGATATACTTTTCTTTTGAATATTTTCTAAATGCAATATACATATATAATATTTAATCTTTTTATTTTTTTTAAACAAAAAATCATCTAATTTGAGATTAGTTTTGGGATTAGAGATAATTTTCTCTAAGCAAAGGAATTTACTTAATGTATCTCAATCTTGAGAGTTAATTTAATAATTTTTATGATTGATCAATTTTTATAAGAGTTTTTTATTTAATTAAAAAATCCTTTGTATATTCAATGAAATTGATTAATGCAATTAAATCATATCATTTATATACATTTCATCAATCATCTCGTTTATATAATTTATTACAATATAAAAAATTTGTGTCTAAAACTTACTCTCTCTCTCTCTCTTTTTTTTTTGTGACACATGTTTCTATGTATGGTGGAGTTATATGACATAATTTTTTTTCTTCAACATTCTCTTTCATTTATAACTAATTCTCTGAAATATGAGCATTTTTGGGACATATGTCTGTGCCTTTTCAGAATAGAAAACTATTCATTAATGAAAAATACATTTACAAATTTTCATAACATATAGAAAAGTTCTTTAAATTATAACATTATAAAAAATATCATTTTAATTTAAAAAGTACAACCTACATTATTTTATAGCTCTACAAAATAAAATTATTTTTAAAAAAATCTTTAAGTGTCTTTTTCTTTATGAAGAAAAAAACCTTAATTATCGCATTGTCAACACTATGGCGAAGTTCATTTTTTTTTAATATTATTATACCTCCACAAAAACTTGGAAATTAATCATTCATGTATGTGCCTGTTTGTAGAAAAAATTGATTGTCTTTTTCTTTTTCTCCTTAGGACCCCTTTACACACATAAGTCCATTACTCCAACGTAGAAGCAATCTCAATCTCTTTTAACAATCGATGTATTACAAAATGTCTCAATTAACTATCTTATTTTTTTTTCTTATGCGCATTCATTTTAATCGCTGGAAAAATATATTCCTTTAATGCACATTTTAATATATATATAAAAAATAAGAACTTAATATCCTTGATTATATATTGTCATAATATCATATAAGAAGAGCGATAGGAAAAATTAGAAGTGTAAGTAAGCTGCTCGTGTCATTCGCGTGTACAAAAATTATCACTCTTAGTTATACTACATGCATTCGTTATATAATTAGAATCAAGTAGTCCATTGCATGTCTTAGGCATTACTCAATCCTAAAGTAAAAGTAAGAGGATTTAAGTTAAATCTTTATTGTTGTATTTATAAATTTATTTATTTATAAAAAATATATATAAGTGATGTATACATAGCCATCTTTATTACTTTATACTTATTGTTATGAAAGTAAGTTTGTTGATCCTGTAAGGTATTTTGATAGCGGTGTTGTTGTATGAATGCATGCAGAAGGAGTCATGGAGCGAAGAGGAGGACAAAGTGCTGATCGAGGCTCACAAGGAACTGGGGAACAAGTGGGCGGAGATCGCGAGGAGAATGCCAGGGAGGAGCGAGAACACCATCAAGAACCACTGGAACGCCACAAAGCGTCGACTGTACGCGCGGAAGCAGAGGATCAAGCGCACCACTTCCAAGGGAGCAACCACTCTTCTCCAGAGCTACATAAGGCAAGTCACCGAGGCTGAGAACAACCACCTCAACAAACCCATCAACAACAACCTCCACCAACGCCCCTATCGCGTTCGCTACGAGAGCTCCGAGGGTGGCTTCACCTCCGAGGAGGAGGAACCTGCCTGGCACCGCCACCTGCCGGTCGCCAATGATGACTATGTGCCCGTCATGCTCACCTCCGAGGAGATGGCCACTGCCTCTGCGGTGGAGGCTGGCGCAGTGGATTATGGGGTGGCCATGGAGAAGGAGATGGATCTCATGGAGATGATCTATCGTAAAGCTGCTTGATGCATGCATGCGTGGTTTTTGCCCTGATCACATACTTTCTTTCTTTTATTTCTTCTGTTGCGTTCTTTTTCTTTTGCTTTGTCCACTCTGGATATTACTGTGGCTTTCGGTTATGTTTGTCTTGTGATTTTCAGTTTCATGTCGCGCGAAGACTTCGGATGTTGGTTTGTTTTGCTTTTGTTTCGGCCTATGTTGTTTGGCCTCGTATGGGTGCATGACTGCTGTAGACTTTCGTTTGAGTTATATATGATCAGTGGCTTTTATGGTAATATTTGTCGTGCTCGTAGGTGCTTGAATGTTAGAGAATCACTTCTCATTTTTTTGTTTTTAAAATTATTTTATAATCTTTTTTTTCATAAAACTTATCAATTTTTGAAAATTATTATTTTTTTAAGATAAGTGTTTTAAAAACTAAAAATAAAACTTCTCGTTTGTTCAACATATTTCTCAATTCTACGTACTGCTTTGTGTCTAGTACAAACTTCCACGAATTGCCTAAATTAAACAACCTTGTTTAGTTCCATTTTAAAATCAGTTTTTGGACACTGCTTAAATTTTCATTGCATGTTCAAGCTAGGAAGTACGAACGAAGGAAATTATTTTCTTGGAATTTACCAAAAATTACTTTCTTTCAAATTAGCAAAAGCAAAAGGAAATAATCTCAAAATTTTTCAACCTTTTGTTTTAATTTTTAAAAATAATTATTTTAAATACATTTTTATATAAAAAATAATATTATATGTTAAGGTAATTTTTTTTTTATTTTTA